ACACAAGTGTTTACTTTTGAGTAAAATGTATTTAAAGTAACGGTAGTTAATTGAGTATAGTATTCTAGTACTCTTTCCATACCTGAAACCCCTGAAGTACTGCCTTCTCAGCAGCAAAGACACAGTTAGATTTTGTATATTGGTTTATTATCTGTTGTCATCTTTTTTTGTGTTGTCCCAGGAAGAGTAGCTAATGTTTTAATTTTATTGCAATCCTCATTAGCTAATGCTATCAGCCACTCTTCCTGGGGTCCCCACAAAACAGAAAGAATAAAAAAAGAAAAAAGAAGAACAGATAAGACACATACAAAACACCATATATTAAAATCAGAAAAATTATTATTTTTAATTTACACTGAATTCATTAGCACTGACTGTGCATACAATGTGAAATCTGACAAGATATTTATATACATATTGTTATTTCTCTTCAAAAAGAAAGAAAAAAGTACAAAATTAGATTACAGGTCTAGGGCTATAAGGTGTTCACTTATTTTTAAAGCCTACTTTATGCTATTGGAGCAGGAAGTGAGTTCCATGCAACCATGGCTCAATACAATATTTTGGAAATTGGAATTTCCCCATTGTGGGACAAATAAAGGAATATCTATCTGTCTAATACAGTGTGTTGCTTTAGATTTAGGAACTGTGTAGAGATTTCTGGTGACATTTATGCATCAATGTTCTGCATCTTCTAATGGGGATGCTAATAAAATCCTAGAGACTAGCTGGTGAACATAGTTGAACAAGATAAAGAGCCAGATATTTCGCTCAGGAGTTGGTATGGACACAAACACACCGCCAGATAAATGATGTGTAAAGCATCTACACACTGTAAGTTCACCATATCAACTTGAAAGGGCACATGTAAATGCGTGTGTTCACAGCTTGCGTGCACTGTCCCCAAATGGACACTGCAGGTTTAAAGAGGGAACAGCTAATAGACACAAAATAACTGATGTTAGCAAATGTGCAAGCAGTTACTTGATTGTGTTTATGCTTGCTATCGTAGCAGTAGTATACTAGGTGAAATGGGAATTATAATGTACAGTTTAATATGACTTCACTAGCAAGCAGATCACCACCTATAGTATACCAAAATATCTTCAGCATTAAATATAATTATTTCATAGGGAATCACTTGGCGTCATGTTTTCTTTTATATTTGTACAGCTCGGAGAAAATTCTATGAGGTTTTATGGACTTTATTTATCCTAGTTACATGATTATATACCTGTATAATCTACTGTAATCCAAAGGAAGAGTCCTGCAGAAACCATTTCTTTGTTAAGTAATAATGTCCAGTTGTTGTTAAACAACTCTGTGATCATTTTGGAGCCTGCAATTAGTAGCTGGTACCGGCCTGCATTATATTGAGGTGGTACTGATATTTTTCATTTATGTTAAATATGTATCACTCCTATTAAGTTCAAGAAGCAACCTTAATCATCAACTTTAGTGTTGCATTTTAATGGTAAATGGTAAATGGACCTGTTCTTGTATAGTGCCTTTCTAATCTTCTGACCACTCACAGCGCTTTGACATTACATGCCACATTCGCCCTTTCACACACATTCACTCAGTGATGGCAAAGCCCATCAAACACATTCATACACATTCACATACCGATGCACAGCATCAGGAGCAATTCTGGGTTCAGTATCTTGCTCAGGGATACTTTGAAATGTGGCGGGAAGAGCCGGAGATCGAACCAACAACTTTCCGATTAGTGGACGACCCGCTCTGCCTCTGAGCCACAGCCGCCGATTTTAACACTTGGTTGACCCCACTTTTTCTCTTCCCTATTACATTGTGTACTATAAACTGTGGTGAAGAGTGTCTTGTGCAGCAGGGAACACATATTTTACATTTATGAACACATACACAGCAGGCTTGTAATAAAATCCCAAGCCAAGTTGTTTTATTTATGAAATTTCATATAACCATATAAATGTAAGCTAAAGATAAAACATTTGCTCAGCCATTTATGTTTAGTGAGAGGTATAAGCGCTAGTGCACAATCCTCACCACTGCTCACTTTCATTGACAGCTTCCTCAAATGTCAGAGCCCTTTCACCAAATTAACTGTATAAAAACTTCTATAAATGGTCAATTGCTTGAGTGTCTCTAACTGAAATTTTAATTTTAATAGTCTTCCCACACAATCCTTTCCTATCTGACCATTATTTAATAACTTTTGAATTTCTATTATTAGATTATAAGCCATTAGGCAAAACTTCCTACAGCAGATGTCTATCTGACAGTGCTGTAGCTAAATTTAAGGAGGAGATTCCATCAGTGTTTAATTCAATGCCATGTCTGAATATAACATCCTATAACAACTTGAATCCCTCCGAAATTGATAATCTTGTTGATAATGCTGCAGGCTCACTACGATCAACATTAGATTCTATCGCTCCTATAAAAAGGAAAATATTAAAACATAGGAAACTAGCACTGTGGTACAACCACCAAATCCGCCAATTAAAGCAAAAAACAAGGAAATCGGAAAGGAAATGGCGCTCTTCGAAATTATTAGAATATCGCTCAGTTTGGCATGATAATCTTAAAACTTATAGAAAGGCCCTCCGTAATGCCAGAGGAGCCTATTATTCAGCACTAACAGAAGAAAATAAGAACAACACTTACAGCACTGTAGCCAGACTGACAGAGAGTCACAGCTCTATTGAGCCACATATCCCCATAAACTTAAGTAGCAATGACTTCATGAGCTTCTTTGATAATAAAATTATTACTATTAGAGAGAAAATTAGTCACCAATTGCCCTCAACAGGTATCACTGGCTCACCGAATTCAAGAACTAATGTAAACTCAAATATATATTTAGAATGTTTTTCTGCCATCAATCTTCATCAGTTAACTTCTTCAACGAAGCCATCAACCTGTCTGTTAGACCCGATCCCAACTAGGCTGCTTGAAGAAGTCGTACCCTTAGTTGGCACTTCTTTACTAGATATGATTAATCTTTCTTTATTATCAGGATATGTACCACAGTCCTTTAAAGTAGCTGTAATTAAACCCCTTCTTAAAAAGCCCACTCTTGACCCAGGGATTTTAGCCAATTATAGACCGATTTCTAACCTCCCCTTTCTCTCTAAGATTCTGGAGAAAGTAGTCGCCAAAGAGTTGTGTGACTTTCTACATAACAATAGTTTATTTGAGGATTTTCAGTCAGGATTTAGAGTTCATCACAGCACAGAGACAGCTCTGGTTAAAGTTAATAATGACCTTTTGACTGCTTCAGGCAATGGACTTGTCTCTGTACTTGCATTATTAGATCTTAGTGCTGCATTTGACACCATTGACCATAATATTCTTTCACAGAGACTTGAGGATCAAATTGGCATTAAAGGAACCGCACTAAGCTGGTTTAAGTCATACTTATCAGATCGTTCGCAGTTTGTACATGTTAACGATGAATCTTCAATAAATACTACAGTTAGTCATGGAGTTCCACAAGGTTCTGTACTTGGACCAATACTATTTACTTTATATATGCTCCCTTTAGGCAACATTATTAGGAATCACTCCATTAACTTTCATTGCTATGCAGATGATACAAAGTTATATCATCGATCATGTCTTAAGCACATAAAATCCTGGAGGAGCTGCAATTTTCTGATGTTAAACTCACTGTCTAAAGATATAGTTACTCTAGATGGCATTACCTTGGCCTCTAGCACCACTGTCAGGAATCTTGGAGTTATCTTTGATCAGGATTTGTCATTTAATTCCCACACAAAGCAGACCTCTAGGACTGCCTTCTTTCATTTACGTAATATTACAAAGATTAGACACATCCTATCACAGACAGATGCAGAAAAACTAATCCATGCATTTGTTACTTCCAGGCTGGATTACTGCAACTCTTTATTATCAGGTTGCCCCAATAAGTCCATTAAGACACTCCAATTAATTAAAAACGCTGCAGCACTAGTACTAGGAAAAAGAGATCACATCTCTCCTGTACTAGCTTCTCTGCACTGGCTCCCTGTAAAATTTAGAATAGAATTTAAAATCCTCCTCCTCACCTATAAAGCTCTTCATGGTCAGGCCCCTTCATATCTTAAAGAGCTCATAGTACTCTATTACCCCACTAGAACACTGCGTTCTCTGAATGCAGGGCTACTTGTGGTTCCTATAGTCTCAAAAAGTAGAACAGGAGCCAGAGCCTTCAGTTACCAAGCTCCTCTCCTGTGGAACCAGCTTCAAGTTGTGATTCAGGAGGCAGACACCCTCTCCACATTTAAGAGTAGGCTAAAGACGTTCCTGTTTGATAAAGCTTATAGTTAGGGTTGGCTCAGGTGAGTCCTGAACCATCCCTTAGTTATGCTGCTATAGGCCTAGACTTTACTTCTTCCCCGGAGTTCTTGTGCTTTCTCGTCTCGCAGGTTCTCATGGATCCTGGTAGAGCCTCCTACCATGGTCCTGCTTGAATATCACTGATATTAGTGTTATTATTATTATTATAAGTATTATTATTGCTACGGTTACTGTTGTTGCTGTTGTCACTGCTCATTGTCCCCCATCGTTGCTGTTGTCATGTTCATCATCATCAGTCACTACTATTCGTGTAGTTGTTGCTACTGTTGTTGCTGTGCACCTGTCTGTCTGTCTGTCTCGGTCTCTCTCTCTTTCTCTCTCTCTCACCCCAACTGGTCGAGACAGACGACCACCCACCTAGAGCCGGAGGATCTTCTCCTAGGTTTCTGCCTCTTAACAGGAAGTTTTTCCTTGCCTCCGTCGCCAAGTGCTTGCTCATGGTGGTACTGTTGGGTCTCTGTAAATGTTATAAGGAGTTCGGTCTAAACCTGCTCTATTTGAAAAGTGTCCTGAGATAACTTCTGTTATGAATTGGCGCTATACAAATAAAACTGAATTGAATTGAATTGAATTGAATTGAATTGAAATGCTAATAGCAAAAACCCAGAGTGGTTTAATCCCATTGACAATTGACAGCTATTTCACACAGAGTCATGTTTTCAGAATCCAAGCAAATTTATTTATAGAACTTTTCCAAAACTGTGTCATACAAGGTCCTGGATGCAACACAAAGATGTTATAGCTGAATTTAAAACCAGATCAAAACAAGAATCTTAGTTACATTCATCCATCAAAAAGACTGAATTTACAAGATTTTAGAAGAACCCAGTATCTGAAAAGAAATACTCTATAAACTAGACTGCTAAATTATTCACTTTAAATTAACTGATTAATTGTTAGTGAAACCTAAAGAGTTTTTAGTCACAGGTCAGCTGAACATGCAAAACTGTCATACATTCATCATATATGGAGATGAATGTGTCCAATAATTGATAAATAATCAATTGATAAGTTGAGTTTTAATGGAGTAGTTCTATTCCTATTTCCCTGTAATTACTTTAAAATTATTTGTTTCCAGGAAACTCAGAAATCTATAATAAACTGTAAAGCACAAGAAACCCTAAATACATAATTAATGCAATCTAACAATAAAATGGTTATCAAGAGAAATTGAGGACGAAAACATGGACTAAGCCAAAACAGTGAAAATGCTCATTTTCACAGATTTTTACAGGACATTTACCACCTGAAACACATTTTCATCAGACATGGAGAGCAGGAGAAGGAAAAGAAAAGGTGCTTTCCAGGTGTTGTGGGCATGTTGGATGATATTTTTACCCGAGTCCATTTAGGAAGTTGGGATGAGGTCCTGGCAAATTCTTTAGGCCTTGAAGTTCTTGGTCCTCAAAGTCCTTGAACCATTTCAAAGTAAAATTTTTCAGTCAGTTTAATTTCCTTTCCCTTCCTTTCAGATGCATTATTTGCTGCATGATTTAATGTCATAACCAATTAAAGCAGATCATTTCTTGCTACCATCACATTCCACAAACACTAAAGTGTGAAATGTTTTAGTCCCATAGTGCCAGCAATATTACTAACAAACCCATACAGCAGGACCAGAGGGTTGTAGGCTGGGGTGGATCATCAGAGCCACTCAGGAGGTACTCTACCCGAGACCAGGACCCATTATTGGGCAAAGGTTCCACTCCTAACGTCCAGCACATCACGTTATAGACGTCCACCGCTCGAATTGGAGCCACCCGAACATTCCGCTTGAAGTCTGGATGAAATTAAGTAAACATAATTAGATCTCAAATGAATAATCTTATATTATAATTTAAAATATTGATCTTCACCACAAACTAGAGACGATACTGACTATGATGATATACTGATACTGTACAGTTCACACTCTGTCTGCCTCAAAAAACCAAGCTCAACTTGGGTTCTGAGTCACATCTAGATTTCTAGGAACTCACTGTAGCATCTTTCCACTGACATGGTACACCTTGCTTTAGACACAGTGGATCACAGGAAAAGACTCACAGACACAGTTGTGAAGTAGAGTGTTGCTTGATAGATAACATGCGTAAAAATACCCAGATTAAACATGATTTGTTTTGTTACCAGGTCCTGTCGCCAAGAAGAAACCTCTCATGTCGAGGAACTCATTGTCGTAACCATGCCAGCCATTTTGCCATGCTGAGGGTTCCCCAGAGTCATTTTTCCAGTATGGGAGTTTAGCCTTGTTCTGGAAACACAATTTGAACAAGATAGAACAAAGAATGCCGTAAGGTTTTATGGATTTTTTATGGCTGCACCAATAATAATCCACATGATACAATTGAAATTGAGATTGTTTTGTCAACTGTTGTTTCCAAGGTCAAGAAAGAACTATCAAGCTTGAGTGAGTTTACATTCACTCAAAAAGTTTTATGTATTTCAAATCAAGCATTGTGTACATCTATTTATATACGTCTTTGCTGACGCATTGCTGCACATGTAGATAGTCCCTGAGGTGCTCAAAATCAGGGAATGTTTCAACATCTATAGGGCAATTTGCTGATAAGGACCAAAATGGATACTAAATCGACAGTAAATAATACAGATAACTCAACTACTAACTACAACTAGATGATACTGTCAAATGAAATTGCTGAAACACGGCACCCTGAGCAAATCTGTGCGTCCACTCATATCTTAGCATTCACTTCAAATGCAGTTGCTCAGAGTAAGAAAATCAGTCAGGTAAAGACAAGCACACTTTGTCCTAGTTAATGTGTTGATACAAGTGAAAACTGTTACCTCAGCGATAAACCAGCCTGGCTCAGCCACCAGTGTCAGGGGGGAAACAAACTTCCCCCTTTTGAAATGGAAACGTTCAGGGATCTCTTGTCTGGCATAGACACACATGTTAGGGACCTGGGACAATGCGGCATACAGCTGGCATAACACACACACACACACACACACACACACACACACACACACACACACAGTGTTACTACAAAAGTCGCTTTACAGCACTAGTAATTCCTGTAAATTTGTAAATGAAATAATCTTCAAATCCTCTCCACTTTAAAAGACTACTACTTTTGCATTCTTTCAGCTACAGACTTCATCGAGGACACCCTGAAATAATCTACAAACATTTCAAAAAGTCTCAAAGCTACTTTAGGTTAATCAAAGCTGCTGTGCATCTGTCCTGGGGGATGTTTTCCTCAGTTTACCTTACAGAATGGCCATATCAAGCCAGCGTTTGTGCGCCAAACTGAACTTTTAATTCCTATCTGCAGCTGGCCTCATCAATAAGGCATTCGACCCCCACTAACACTCTTATACTACACACATTAAAGTTACATAGGAAAGTACTAACTCACCTGAATCCATGCTTTACATTCACGCACATCCCTTGGGCATTATTTTTGCACATTCTTACCTGTCCAGTAACTATCCAAACAGGACACCGCATATTCACTTACCCGAAACCCACAACCCAAACTGCACACCATCTATCCAGTTACCAGTCACGACCCACCATATCTACCATATCTGTGTGACATCTAGCCTTAAATATAATTCAATTCAATTCAATTCAATTTTATTTGTATAGCGCCAATTCATAACAGAACGTATCTCAGGACACTTTTCAAAAAAGAGCAGGTCTAGACTGTATACTGTATATTCCCCTCGTCCCTGTCTCAGCTTACTGCCTTTGTAGTGATCCACATAGAGTAACCATCTGCTTCTCACCTGCTACTAAGGATTTTCAGTGGGAGTGTGTAAGACCAAGAGGTTCAAACTCTGCCCCCACCATCCAGAGTAGCAACAAGGACATGTAGGGTCAAATGGGACCTTTAAACATGAAATTGTTTTTTTCAACAACAAGCCTGAGGTAACCAGTTGTTTTAGATCAACCCCAAACAAAATGTTACCTGGGTGCTGATGTAATCAATCAATACATGACTGGAAGCAGTGAACCTGAATTTCCCAAGCAGCTCACGGAGAAAGGCAGTAACTGTATTACTTCTGCTCCAGCGGCAACTCTTCTTTCTCCCTCCTTTCATAGACTGTTGGTAACGTACTGGGCATAAACAGTTTTAGATTAGTTTTCAACAGGCTTAACAGCTAAGCAAGGACTGTTAATTACTGTTAATGTTACTGTACTGATATGTTTTATTCAGGTTATGTTGTTGTCATGCTGATCTGATAAAGGTAGGTTACTGCAGTAACTGTATTCTTTAAGACAGTGCTATCGTGATATTAGTTTAATGTTATGCTTCACACAGACAGTCTTTGCATGCAAATAACTCTCAGACCACACACACACCCACACATACACCTAAATTCAGCACAACTTCAGCACACACATGAGGAGAGGGAAGTCAAACCACTCTTCCATGCTCTTTGTCTCTAACCAACACGTGTTTCATGCTCAGCTGAAACATCTGGTCGAGGGCAAAGGACACACACACACACACACACACACACACACACACACACACACACACACACACACACACACACACACCTTTTTCTTTGGCTTAGTTCCTTTTAGTTAGATTGTAAATTGTGTGTTTCCCTGTTTTGCTTTTTATTTCTTCAATAAATCCTTGTGTTTATACATGCTGGCCTATATTAAGAGTGGGTGATACCAGCCTCTTCTATGCAGACTTTCAAATACTTCCACTTTAACTATTAATTGTGATTTTGGTTATAGTCATTCATTTAATTAATAATCCGATTTCTAAATTAGTAGTTCAGTGTATTTTATGACACTGAATCAATCAATTATTGGCTATTGTTTCCCTTATTTAAGGGTAGTATTTTCTATTATCTTTTGATAATTAATAAACTTTGATAGCCTAAATTTGATTGATTGCTCCAATATAGTTTGGTGCGCCTTTAAACCTCTGCTGTACCAACAAATGGTACCACTGTGATTTATCATAGCACCTACACACATGATCCTTCCCAGCTATGAACATAGCCAACCCAAGGCAACAGAGTGCTTTTACTTCTAAACTTAATTTTTTTTAAAAGTACCAGAGATATGCGACATAATATGGGTATGATTAGTTGATTGATCAGATTTGAGTAGGAGACAGTTTGGGAAATCATATACTTTAAGCATTCCTCAACCCTGACATAGATGTTTTTCAGCTGTCTTTACTATCTCAATTTCTTCATGATTCATTTTATAATCACTCATTCTTCTCTGACTTCACAAAGAGCACAATGGGAGGGTAGAAAAAACTGATTCTGTTCTCACCTCTTGATACTTGTTATCTTTGGGCCACAGACTGACCACTGGTCCTCTGTCCATCATCTTGACAATGTCCGACATGTTGATAAGTTTGTCCAGCTCTATTACTTTCTCCATCCACTGGATCTTTGTCATACCGTGGTCTGAAAATAGCACAATGTTCAGCTGGTTCACCATGTTCTTCTCCTACAAGAAAATCACAAGCCACAAAAACAGATGAATAATAAACTACAATGACAAATCATAGCTGTAATTGTAATAAGAATAGTACTGATATTACTAACTTTAATTTTGCTGTTGAGTGTCTGCATGGCGAGATCCAGTTGCCGCACAGCTGTTCTGACCTGATGAGAGTCTGGACCGAAGTGATGGCCCTCCACATCTATTTTCTCATAATATATTGCTGCCATGCCTGCTTGGCCTGATCTACACACAGACACATACACCATACACACACACACACACACACACACACACACACACACACACACACACACACACACACACACACATTTAGGTATCTACTGCTACCATTGTTGGCATTTAGTGAATGAATTAATATCAGATTATGATATTGATTTACTTTGTCTTACTGAGACCTGGTTGTCCCACGAGGAGTATGTTAGCCTAAATGAATCCACCCCCCCCAGTCATATTAATACTCACATTCCTCGAGGCACTGGCCGAGGAGGTGGAGTAGCAGCCATATATGATTCGAGCGTTTTAATGGACCCTAAACCTAAACTAAATTATAATTCATTTGAAAGCCTTGTTCTTAGTCTTTCTCACCCAAACTGGAAAACACTGCAGCCAGTTCTATTTGTTATAGTGTACCGCGCTCCTGGACCGTACTCTGATTTTATATCTGAATTCTCAGAGTTTTTATCAAGTTTAGTCCTTAAATCAGATAAAGTAATTATTGTAGGTGATTTTAATATTCATGTGGATGTTAACAATGACAGCCTTAGTAACGCATTTATATCATTAATAGACTCAATTGGCTTCTGTCAGAGTGTAAATAAACCAACTCATTGTTTTAATCACACTCTTGACCTTGTTCTATCATATGGCATTGATATTGAACATTTAATAGTCTTCCCACATAATCCTTTCCTATCTGACCATTATTTAATAACCTTTGAATTCATACTATTAGATTATAAGCCATTAGGCAAAACTTCCTACAGCAGATGTCTATCTGACAGTGCTGTAGCTAAATTTAGGGAGGAGATTCCTTCAGTGTTTAATTCAATGCCATGTCTGAATTTAACAGAGTCCTATAACGACTTTAGTCCCTCTGAAATTGATAATCTTGTCGATAGTGCTGCAGGCTCACTACGATCAACATTAGACTCTATCGCTCCTATAAAAAGGAAATTATTAAAACATAGGAGACTAGCACCTTGGTACAACCACCAAACCTGCCAGTTAAAACAAATAGCTAGGAAATCTGAAAGGAAATGGCGCTCTTCCAAATTACCAGAATATCGCTCAATTTGGCATGATAATCTTAAAACGTATAGAAAGGCCCTCCGTAATGCCAGAGGAGCCAATTACTCAGCACTACTAGAAGAAAATAAGAATAACCCTAGGTTCCCCTTCAGCACTGTAGCCAGGCTGACAGAGAGTCACAGCTCTATTGAGCCACATATCCCCATAAACTTAAGTAGCAATGACTTCATGAGCTTCTTCTATAATAAAATTATTACTATTAGAGAGAAAATTAATCACCAACTGCCATCAACAGTTATCAGTGGCTCTCCAAGTTCAGGGACTTCTGCCAATGTAAACTTAGATACATATTTAGACTGTTTTTCTGCTATCGATCTTCATCAGTTAACTTCAATCATTTCTTCATCGAAGCCATCAACCTGTCTATTAGACCCGATCCCAACTAGGCTGCTTAAAGAAGTTGTTCCCTTAATTGGCACTTCTTTACTGGATATGATTAATCTTTCTTTATTATCAGGATATGTACCACAGTCCTTTAAAGTAGCTGTAATTAAACCCCTTCTTAAAAAGCCCACTCTTGACCCAGGGGCTTTAGCCAACTATAGACCGATTTCTAACCTCCCCTTCCTCTCTAAGATTCTGGAGAAAGTAGTCGCCAAAGAGTTGTGTGACTTTCTACATAACAATAGTTTATTTGAGGATTTTCAGTCAGGATTTAGAGTTCATCACAGCACAGAGACAGCTCTGGTTAAAGTTAATAATGACCTTCTGATTGCTTCTGACAATGGACTTGTCTCTGTACTTGTATTATTAGATCTTAGTGCTGCATTTGATACCATTGACCATAATATTCTTTTACAGAGACTTGAGCATCAAATTGGCATTAAAGGAACCGCACTAAGCTGGTTGAAGTCATATATATCAGATCGCTCGCAGTTTGTACATGTTAACGATGAATCTTCAATAAATAATACAGTTAGTCATGGAGTTCCACAAGGTTCTGTACTTGGACCAATACTATTTACTTTATATATGCTCACTTTAGGCAACATTATGAGGAATCACTCCATTAACTTTCACTGTTATGCAGATGATACGCAGTTATATCTATCAATCAAGCCCGATGAAATTAATCAATTATCTAAATTACAAACATGTCTCAAGGACATAAAATCCTGGATGACCTGCAATTTTCTGATGTTAAACTCAGAAAAAAACCAAATTCTTGTTCTTGGCCCCAAAAACCTTAGAGACTCACTGTCTGAAGATATAGTTACTCTAGATGGCATTAACTTGGCCTCTAGCACCACTGTCAGGAATCTTGGAGTTATCTTTGATCAGGATTTGTCATTTAACTCCCACATAAAGCAGACCTCTAGGACTGCCTTCTTTCATTTACGTAATATTACAAAAATTAGACACATCCTATCACAGACAGATGCAGAAAAACTAATCCATGCATTTGTTACTTCAAGGCTGGATTACTGCAACTCCTTATTATCAGGTTGCCCCAATAAGTCCATTAAAACGCTCCAATTAATTCAGAACGCTGCAGCACGAATACTGACAGGAACTAGAAAAAGAGATCACATCTCTCCTGTTATATTAAAGGCATAAAAGATCAAGGTCAAATAGAACACAAAATGTATCTCTATGCAGATGACATATTTACATATATTAGTGATCCAGTTTCCTCTGTCCCAGCATTAATGAGAAATTTAAAGCAATATGGAGAGATCTCAGGCTATAAAATTAATCAATCAAAGTCAGAGGCAATGATGCTGGTAGGGCACTGGCCTGCACAATTAACAGGCGGTATTAAATTCCACTGGTCTAATCAAGGGTTTAGATACATAGGTATCATCATAACGCATCACAGTTGTACATAGCCAACTATGGCAAACTGATAGGTGATATGGGTTGGGATAGAACAAAATGACTGCCTAAACTTGCCCCTAGACACAATTCCATTTATGAGTCAAGACACTTGGAAAATAAATAAAATTGATCATCAGTGGGTAAAAACCACTTTAAGAATATGGTCCAATGTGAAGAAGAAATTAAGACTTCCGGTGTCAATATCTAGAGCAATGAAAATTACACAAAATACAGACTTTTTTCCATCTAAATTAGGAACCAGGTTCAAGAAATGGGAGCGGAATGGTTAGTTATGTTGGACCAATTATTTGACGGAGGAGTCCTGATGTCTTATGAGCAGCTCCGACATAAAAATAACCTTCCAGCCCATGATTTTTTTTTAAATATCTCTAACTGAGACACAATTTACAGAAACACAAAGAATGGGAGAAACTATGCACTTTACCCTCTAATATAGAACACTTCTTTATTTTAATAATTAAAGGGTCTATTAAAAAGAAGGTTATATCACACATATATAAGATACTACAAGAACAACTAACAGATAATAGTTTGGATATTAAAGAAAAATGGGAACTGGAAATTAACACCATAATTCCAGATAACAGCTGTGAATTGTCATGCAGAGAGGATCACAAAGTTACAAATAGCCCTATCTGGAAGGAATTTGAATGGAAAATTAAGATGAGGTTTTTCAGGACTCCTGTCGTCACATCAAAATTTGTGGATAATCTGTGGCCTGGTGGGAGACCACACACATACATTCTGGGATTGTCCGAAACTGTTAAGATATTGGCTACCATACAAAATGAAATAAAAAAATGTTTAAATGTAGATCTTCCCTTAGAACCCTCTTGTTTTGTGTTAGGAATATTGCCAGAAGATCTAGAAAACAATAATCGATATTGCTGAGAGTCCTTCTAATAGCTAAGAAGATGATTACAATCTCCTGGCGGAGGCCGCAGCCCCCCGCAGTAACACAATGGAGAGAGAAAGTTAAGGATGTTTACTACATGGAAAATATAACTACAAGGTTACACTTGAAAACTGATGTATTCCTGAATAAATGGTCCCCAATTATCTCATATTTTATTGATTGATATGATTGTTGATGTGACTGTTTTTTTTTCTCCTGCCATTCAATTATGAATGATGAATGTATGTATATTGTAAGTTCATCCTCTTGCTCAATGAATGAATATCACTGCCAACTTTCAAATATGGACTCTATCTAGACATTGTTAGGATGCCAAAATCCATGGACTACCTCTACCCCATTTACACCTGTGTTGTATCCTTGAACGTGTGAATATATATGACTGCACCTGGAAATAAAAGAAGTTAAAAAAAAAAAAGTAAACTGAATTGACCTGGGCTGAATGAGATCACAGCTCTCTGAGGTTAAATAATTAATATGTGTGGCTACAGTATAAAAGGTCTGTCTTATGCTGCTTGGTTTTCCCAGTTCAAAACTAAAAGTAAGCCATGCATCAGAGGACATCACAGGGTACATAACAAGTGAAGGTAATTTTTATTACCTCAGGACGTTGAGAGCATTCTCTATTGAGTCTGTGAGGTTTTTCTCTGATGGGTTGTAGACATATTCCTCACAAAATGATGGACGGACACCAAGAATCTCCACCTCGCAGCCTGAAGAAACACACACACGTGAGATTACTCCATCCTTTACAGACAGTTCTAATTATTACACATTGCAAATAGTAGCAAAGGGACATTGAAGTCAGTTCTTACTCTAGCTTTTAACATTATCATTGGGCATTTGTGATTGGGAGGCTGACTTGGTGGTTGTTAATAAATCTTCATTCATAAAGCTTGCTGCTGCATGCCTTTATTTTCTCACAACTACAAACATAAAGTTTTACAGTATGTGTGAAGACAAAGGGGTCTAAGCAAAAGTTAGTAAGTTCAGAAAGAGTTTGATGTCACCTGATGTTTTTATTTGTTTCTCTCTGAATTTAGCTTACGTTTCCAGCAAAGCAGAGCACAAGGCACAGATGTGTTGTGATCAGTGTGTATCATTATTTCACATCAGGTTGGACTCTTTGTACTCCATGAGTCCATGAAATTTACTGCCTTAGATTAAACTACAAACGACTGTTAGATAACCTTCCTTCTTACCTTTGCTTTTATCTTACAATAACATTATTTAGCTTTTAAATAGACTAAATTCCAGCCAAGTCGTCGTGCTACTGATAACATAACGAACTGATAGACACTTTGACATTAACTTACAGTTGCCCATATTTGTTTTGTCCCTCCTCCCAGATGGTGTAAGACTTTTAAGCTTTGTATTTCAAGTTATTTGTATGACTTGAAGTATAAAAACACCCTTTGGTTTGCATTTACGTGTGCATAGCACAAATACAACACAGGTGGTTACATGACCTATACAGACAGCTGTACTGATTAAAATAGAAGTTTATCTGTTCTATCAGAATTGCATGAGAAAGACAACAAAAAGACACAAGTGAAACACTTCCTGTGTAGAAAAGCTGTAAAATAGCCAGTCAACCTGCCTGCAGTTTGCAAAATTACACCCATACATGTAGGTGACCCTGCCTGTTTTAGCCCCAACACCGAGGAGTCATCTTCCCCAATCAATCAGATTTGCTATTCTTTTCTTTTTGTTTTATTCTTCCATATGTTAGTATTTATATGTATATGATTGTGTATGTGCATATCTATATGTATATATGCTATATATATATATATATATATATATATATATATATATATATATATATGCATACATATACATGTTTATGTGTGTGTTTATATTATTTGTTTGTTTGTGAAGCACTTTGCAACTGTGTGTTTTAAAAAGTGCTATATAAATAAAGCTTTACTTACTTACAACAACAGTTGAGTGTTCAGGTTAACAATTAATGTGCTCACCAGGCCAGTAGTACATGAAAACTTTCCTTCCCAGCTTCTGCAGGGTGACCCATAATGGCTCTGATCCATCCCACCAAAGAGGCAACCGGCTGTCAAGATTGGTCCCAATCAGAAACTCCTTGTTGGAGGCTTCATCCCACATGTAGTTTCCAGTCATCTGATGAACGTTACAATGGCGGCCTGACAAAAAAAAGAAAAAAAAAGAAATGTTCCTCTGTGCCATTGTTGTCCAAAAAATAATACACACACGCTAGTTATTTTCAGGAATGAACTGAGCTGTTATTACAAATTAAACTATATAAAGTATGTGTGTGAGCTGTTTTTAGACAGGATAGGGAAGTCAGAAAGTATTGGGAGAAGGACTAACATATTGTTGATTTTGATAAAGCAAATTCAGTAAATTCAGGCTAAACCAAAAGGGAGTCAGCATCAAGCAGCACTGGCTGGTGCAGGATTAAGGGGAGGTGTCAATGAACTGGGTGTGTGTGTGTGTGCCTGTGTGTGTGTGTGTGTGTGTGTGTGTGTGTGTGTGTGTGTGTGTGTGTGTGTCTCCAGCTAGTGATTCTTTCAACTGGAGAATGTGCTTCATCAAAACACGCACATCAGCACATCATCAGGGGCAGGCTCCAAAGCTCAAATCCCGTTGGCCATGATGGACTGTTGTTTTTAGGGCTTAGTAAGCTAGGGGACTGCAATACACATGCATGAATCACACACACACACACATACAGCTGCCAACTAGCAAACATCTCAAATGGTATCCATCTCATCAAGTAATCATTCTCAGTCTTAAAGTAGTTAAAGTTATGCGTTTTTGTCCAGAGATTGTGAGCTTGTGTGTCATGCTTCTGTTTTGTTCTTTCTATTAAACAATTTTTTCTGACACACATTCGGCCAATCCCATTTCTTGCCTTGATAGATTTTAAATTTCACAAAATATCCACATGCTTCCATCCACTTAGATATTTCCAAGTAGCATATTTTGATAGTATGTCCCAGGGGAATTATTTTCAGAAAAATTACTTTTTGCCAACTTCCCCAAAACATCAGGGCCAGATTAGTAATATTGACGATGGCTATACTGTGTTAGTTTTAAAAATGCCTCATGTAGAAAGTGTTTAACATTAACCTTAAGAGCAAAAAGATCACTGGGGCTACAAAACTTGTTCTGTCATTTAGTAACTTCATTGTCTGGGTGACAATGGTTGATTCATACTGACAAAGTACAAGTTTTTGCAAGTTGTTAAAAGTAGAGGCTAATGTTGCAGCCAGTACCAGGTGGGGATGTGTGAGGCAATGTGTCAGCCAGTAACGTCACTGCTCAGCTAAAACAGCTGAATCAATCAAGGTGGAGCAAAACAACGACTCAATAAATACCACATATGCCAGAAAGACTTAAGGAGGTCCACATACAGGAGGCAGCATTTTAAAAAATATAGAGTGTTGATTATAATATTTAGCTTGTGTAGTTTTTTTTGGCAGAAACATGCAATATCAATCCATAAAACTACATCACCACAAATGGGAAATGGAATTAGATTCTCACAAGGGTTGGATGATTTGACAAATATATCAGGGATTATAAATGGCTGGTTGTTTTTTTTTTTGGGTGATTTATGTCATTTTGCTAAATTAATACTCTGCTTCCAAAGAATGAGAGCCACTGCTCAGCAACATACATTCAGTGGCATAGTACACATACTGAGCCGACGCACTTGAATAAAGTGTGTTTTATGATGTGTACTGTGACTTAGATTTTTATTTTTTTCACTTAGGAATTTTTTTATTTTGCATGCCATCAGTTTGTTTTCATAGCCATTCCACTCAAAGGAATTTTACACTACGTGCCACATTCACCCTTTCACACACATTCACTGAGTGATGGCAAAGGCCATCGATCAGAAACTAACGCATTCACACACCTATGCACAGCATCGGGAGCAATTTTGGGTTCAGTATCTTGCTCAAGGACACTTCGACATGTGGCGGGAGGAGCCGGGGATCGAACCAACAACCTTCCAACTAGTGGACAACCCTCTCTGCCTCTGAACCACGGACGCCCTATACAATAATAATCTTTTAAAAAGTCATAACTGATATAGGATGCAATCACAACAATTCATTAACACTGGAGATTTGCATAACTTTTCACTTGGGCCACTAGAAAAATGTAGTTCAGTGGTGATAAACTTCAAGTTATCTGTCAGCAGCAAATTGTAATTCTTTGTATTTAGTGACTGCTGCTGAAGTATTTCATTACTATCCACTGTTATAGACCACCAACAGTAAATTATCTAATTAATTCTTCGGCTTTCTCTAGTGCCAAATCCAGCCACTGTCCAGCTCTCTACATGTGAACAGTGTTAGAGCTGTACGCACTGGGTGCAAAGCATAGTGCAGAGGCAAAGTGAAGCAGAGTTTTATGTCACCAATATGGTTAAGGTAGCAGGAAAGTCCTGGGAATTGAGTGTAGAATTCAGAGGCATCTAGCAGTGAAGTTGCACATTGCAACCCTTTGAATGTATTCTGAGCTATAGTTCAGCCTTCCAAGGTGTAGGGGAAAATACGGTGGCCAAGAAACTATGGTGGTGGCAAAACTTGTGAAAAATGTGAAAGAACCTATCTACAGCCAGTGCTGATTTGTCCGTTTTGAGGTACTGTTGAAACATGACAGTTCAACATGGCAGACCTGCTACCTCTGTAGATGTAGTCTTTAGAAGATATAGCCTTTGTAGTCTCTTCTCTGAAACTGTAGCATAGCTGGAGCATGTGATGGTAAATGATACTTAACTTTTGACCTTAATAGCCTTGTGCCCTTAGGTCACCCACTAATACAGGTTTACACAAGGGACCAGGCTTTTTCTCATATTTCGCACCACAACAGGAGTTAACCCCACTGACATCCGCACCTTTCCAACCACACCCAGAGCATTTAAAGCTGCCCTTATGTGTCAATACAAAATCATCAGACAATTCTGCTGCTTTCAGTGCAGTGGAGGGCTTTTTCTCATTTACAAACATTACAATCTTTTGAGGGATAGAGTTTTAAAACTGTTCCAACACGATCAGCTCACACAGGCCCACAAAAGTATCAATTTAAACAGCTGAGCACCAACAGTGAAAAGGGGAATTCATATCACAGACAAACTTTGCATTGATTTGTTCAGCACCCAAATGTTGGAACTTCTGCTGATCAGCTTTAGAGACCAACTGATATACCTTAACACAGCCACTTTCACTGCCTCATAATCCAAGCCATCCTCTCCACATATAGCTGAGTATTAGGGTAGAGTACCAAACTTGGTCATTTTGAGGGTAAATGGTAAATGCGCTGTACACTACATGCCACACTCACCCCATTTACAATGCACAGCATCGGGAGCAATTTGGGGTTCAGTGTCTTGCTCAAGGACACTTCGAAATGCAGCAAGAGGAGCCGGGGATCGAACTACCAAGCGGTGGTAGTGGACAACCCGCTCTACCTCTGAGCCACAGCTGCCCCACTGACCGAATACCAGTACTACCGAGCTATGATATATGCTGATCAACTTGACATGATTATCATCATTATTATGTAGCATTACGTAAGATGTCCGAAGACTTTGTATGAAACCAATAGTATGTAAATTACATACTGTTTGTATCTGTATTTCTGCTTTACATTTAATACAGAAAGTGATTTGTAAACCCGGCACTCTGGACCTGAGTACCTGACTCTGCAACTGGATATTGGACTTGCTCACCAACAGACCCTACACCTCCTCCGCTCTACACCGTAGAGGTCTGTGTGCTAGGTCCCCTCCTGTTCATGCTGTACACACATGACTACATTCCCTGAAATGGAGACAAGTCTGTTGTGAAGTTTGCAGATGACACCACCATCATCGCCCAGAATTGGAACCATGATTACACTTCATATTGGGAAATATGAAGTGGGAAATCAACAATCTTGCAGAGTGGGATGACTGCTTGGGTGACCATAGGTGGACAAGAGTGCAAGCCTTTCCTTAGACACACAGGGGTGAGGCAGGGGTGTGTGCTGGCACCAGTGATCTTTAACATCTTCCTTCTATGCGTCACCAAGCTTCTCCACAATGAGATTGAAGACAGCAGTGGACTTCAGATAAGATTGAAACCTCTTTAAAATCAGGACACTCCTTGCAACCTCCAAACTCTGTAGAGAGTGGGTTCTGAAGCTGTAGTATGCAGACCACTATGTTTTTGTGTCCCACACACCGGAGGATCTTCAGAACGTCCCTGCTGTGGCAGTAAGGATGTACAGCAGGATGACACTACCAAGATGGAAGTGGTCTGCCAATGGATTACCAGTATCGCACCCACTCCACCTGCCTTCACTATTGAACAGCTGTCAGGTCAAAGAAGTGCTACAAGGACCAGATGAACAACGCCTTGAAGAAGTGCGCAATTAGACGACATGAGCTGGAGCAGGCTGCTCTGGACCATACCATTGGTGACAGCTGTACAGGGATGGGGTCTGTTTGCTGGAGATGGAGAGGACAAACAAAAGACAGCAGAAGAATGCCATGACAAAGACAGCCATTGTTGTCACCACCACCACCACCACATATACATGCCTTGAATCCTTGTACTGGGCAGAATATACCTTATTTGCTATACCACTAAGGTGATGTTAGTTAAATTTTATTCTCCACGCAGACACAGTCTTTGCATGCAGCCAACTAAACCTATTAATCTATCTGTTAATCTAAGATCACACTAGGGCTGGCACTGATCTCCTCTCCACTGATTTATTTTTTCGATACCAATTTTATAAAATTGAAAATACATTGGACCAGCTACTGGTGGGGAAAGGGGAGACTTTTCTTGTACTTCACAGAGACGTGGCTGTGTGGATTGATACTGGACTCTGCAGCTGGTGGGCTTCCATTTCAGAGGGAATCATGACACAGAAATCTATATATATAATATAATAGAGGTAAGGCTGCTCAATTAATCGTCATTTTATCATGATTACGATTTTGGGGCCAAACGATCTCAAAACTAATAAAATCGGGGGGAAACGATTTTATTAGTTATTTTTTTATTAATTAATTTTTATTCTTTTTTTTTATTTTCTGTTGTGAAACGTTGTACAGGAAAAAGCTGTGTCCCAATTCAGGGATGCAGCCCCTGAATTGGGACACAGCCACAGTCTGCGT